AGGAAACGCATTAAGATTAGACAAAGCAGCCTGTTAAAAGTAGTCTCAAACTACTCAGACTGGATAACTCATGCAAAAGAAAGCAGGTTATCCAGAGTTTGATTCTTTTTGAAAAAGAAAATGCTGTAAAAGAAAAATCAAGAGATTCCATCAAGTACTCTACTATTATTATTGATTTTAGATGGAAAACGTTCTGCACTATGCAAGTGACTTCAAAAACCTCTAAAATAAAAAGATACCACTGTAACGTCTCAGATGTCAAAAGTGCAATATTTCTTTAATTCGAATTTCAACATCATTTATTTCTTGAATTATACAAAACTCACAGTAATTGATTAAGCATCTTTTGCTGTTCTTTGACTCCTCGGTATGTCAATAGTTTATTCTGTAATGGTGAGAAACTAGATGTGACTGTTGAGGGTAAGACAATAGGAAGAAACAAAGTTTTCCGAGTCTTTTTACTAGAAGGAGATGTTGCTCCATTTGAGTGCGGCATCTAAAACCATAACAAAAACAAGGTATTAGAGCACAACTAATCCTGTCCGCAAAGCAGTTTACCAGATGCATGTACTAAGTTGAATTTACATAAGCGATAAAATGAGGTAGCCTCAGAATCTAGGTATAAATTCCAGAATCTAGGTACAAAAGCTTAGGTTTCAGCAAACAGAAAAATACTGTACATGCTAAAATTGCAAAGTTCAACAGAAGGTGCATGCAAAGTCCAAAATAGTAGAAAAGGATGGTGCAGTTCTATTAAGATTAGCATACTGTGTTAAAAAAAAAGTTCGACACCAGCAAAGCAGCCTGTTAACCCCCTCCCGCCCCCCCATTAGACTGCACCAGACTGGCCCTGCTCTAGGCACATTTCCTGACAGGGCCCAAAACAGCACTGCTGTTTCTGTGGCTTCAGTGCAGGATCCAGGCTCCAACCAGGGAAGAAGCAAATGGGAACATGGAACGAGAGGATTAAGCTTTTGTTGAAAGAAAGAAATGCCCACCCTGCCCAGACGGATGGAATCAGTGAAGGAAGGTATCTTCAATGCACCAGGGAAAAAGCAAGCACACACATCTAAAGTCATATTTGGAAGGTGTGGGTGACTATCTACCCCTTTCCTGTCTGGTCACTTTAAAAAAAAAAAAAAAGTCACTTCTCATTCTCCTTAAGTCTTCCTGTGCTAATAACGTGGAAGGCAAATTAGGACAAGGTTGGCCTCTGAAACTGCGAAGAAAAAAATGCCCAGAAGCAAACTTGGTGTTGGGTATTACTGAAATGATAAAATTGCAACCAGTTCTCAAACTAATATGAGGTCATAAAATCCTGCAGAAGACAGACAGTAAATCTTTGAAGGAAAATAAAAAAACTACAATGACATAAATATAGACTTATAACTTCACTACAACGTCAAACAAACAGGAGCAAGACTATTAGAAAGTTATTCTTTAGACACTACGCCATGTTAAAGAGAGAGAGAAGAAAGTGCAGGAAATTAGCAAAAAAGCATATATATAGAAACAGCATCCTTATTCTTCCTTTCATCTTTCTCAAGTAAAAAAGCATGAAGCCTATTTTCCACCTGTAACATAGTCATCAAACGTTATATTGTACTCATGGAAAGGTTAAGGAACAGCATGGATTATCTTGTAAGAAACAATGTAAAATTGGACACCTCTCAGAAGCAATTTTGGGATACTGAAAGTCTTGTGGTGAATCTAGCAGGATTCTTGAGCACTCTGACCATCTAGAATATAAACATGCATTCCATCCATAGTCCCAAGTGACAGTGTTTTACGTGTTTATCTATGGCAGAGTGAGTGGAACACAATACAACAATTCAGCTGCCTCTTTGGAAGCACTTACCCCCACAGGGGCAAGTGCCTCTTCAGTTACAAAGCAGCTGCTTGACAATACCTTACCTTTTTATACTCTAGTAGCTCTGAGCTCCCTACATAATACAAATAGCATGCCAGGATGTGCATCTTCAGAAGCAAGATTAACATGAGCTAAGAATAAAATTAGATAGCTAAGACTAAAGAGGCAAGGGAGGTTTACATGTGGCTGAAGGGATGTGACAAAGTCCTGCTCGCAGATACAGAGGGCTCCCAATGAAAGGGTAGGTGGTAACTCAGTGAGGTGAAAATATGATTCAAACTAGGCTGTGCATCAGAGGGATAGCTGGGAATTTTGCTCTATGATCACAGTTTTGGGTAGTTGGGCTGTGCAATAGGAAAGTGGAGACAGGTTTGAAGTAGGAAGCCTAGTTTGAGAGCCAGATGAAGACATGCAGCAGGTAATAGGGGAAAGAAAGAACGGTAAGCACGGTTAAAGATACTTGGCAACCAAAGTTTGATAACCCCTGCTTTAAAGAGAAAGAAACAGAAAAACTGCTTTTTGACTGGGTGCACTAAAAGACCTTTTTTCTAGCAGCTTAGTCTTGCTTCCTGCTGGGCGTGATTAGTTACATTCTATGATCCCAAAGGATTCGCTACAGCGTTCCTCAGGAAACATGATGCACAGCCTCTATAAACTCACAGTTGTATTTCACCACGTCCTTGCCGGGGAACAAAAAGGCAGAGCTACAGCCTAAATCAGTGCTATGTCCTAGAAATGAATTGAAACGGGGGCGGGGGAAGGAACACAGGCAGAAATAAAGATCAGTTAAACAGAGCGAAGAAGATGTGCCATTGTCTCGGCAATTCCCCCCGCCCAGCAGGGACGGGGGACGCAGAGCTGTCGGGGTGGAAAGGGAAGACACCGCCCCCCTCGCCCCCGGCCCCGGGGCCCCTG